TTGTGAAACTGAGCTTTGAAAATAAGGAAAAGCATCCACTGCAGCGCATGTCTATGTTTTCAATACTTTATTTTTGAACTTTAATGGTTTTTCAGACTTCTGCACCCTTGCCCCATTCTGGCCCACTTGTCAACCATTCGGCATTAAGCCTACGCACGGTTGAACAACGTGCCGTTTGGGTTTTTAGAGGAGATCATGGGAACACATTTGCATTGCTTTTGCATTTGTGTTCAAAACTTCTCCCCAGGCTATGTAGGCAAACAGCCATGTAACCAGATATAACCAGCACGGTCTGATATCGTCGTGTTGGTGTTGTTCCCAGATCATCATACTAAATGTTGTTCCAGGATCAACATTGCAAGTAACCAATCAGAATGTTGTGATGTCATACCTTTGCGACTTCGGGAAAAACCGCCATAAAACAAAAAACTGTACTTAAGCTGCGAGAAACCGCCTCTGTCCGCCGATCAACGGACCCTAACCCTTTAATAAACGGTAAGCAGACTTGATATTGTCCTTGCAATATTGGAATTTCATAAATGCACGAATGGCTTGGCGCGCAAAAGAATAACGTCACAACAATGTGATTGGTCACTTGCAATGTTGAACCTGGAACAACATTTTCATGATGATCTGGGAACAACACCAACATGACGATATCAGATCATCCATATAACCATGGTAGTATAAAACAAGTATTACTAATCAGCATCTTTTAGGAGATGCTTTGAAACAGCATGTTGTACCTTTTATTTAAACTCAGTCTTGTGGGAAAAGCTGTCAACTTTCAAGAATGCAGGTAATTTGAAGACCATATTAATTAATCAGGTGTTTATTTTTCACACTTTGAACAACCTTAAACCTTTGGACTCATGCATGATGTGTGGGGGAAGGATCTTCCAAGAAGGAAGAATTTCATCACTGGAAAACAGCCTCAATACCCTGAAGTTGCGACATAATCCTATGAAGTATCTATGGTGGCAATCAGAAGATGGCAGATATGCAAGTTTGGTCTTGGTGCAATCTGGAAATAAAATGACTTGCCCGCTTAAAAACTTCAGTAGCTGCCAGTGAAGATGCAATCTATGTATTCTTTTTCTTATCTCAGATAAACTGAGAGATACTGGAGTCAGACTTCCACATAAGGGTTATTCTTCTGAGGCAGTGAAGTTAAAGGAAGGTAAATAAATGACATATATCCCATTGCAATTAGGATTATTCACCTGAATATCATCCAGCCCACACGGTACATTCTTAGTACGGTTTGAGCTGAATCATAAAAAGTGTTTTCTTAACTTTGCCAAATGTCGCCCCCCCCCCCCACCACTGTTTGAATTCTTTCACTTTCACTTCTACTTATTGAAATTAGTATACTTTAAAGCATTCTTATTTTTATTATATTTACTTATTGTACAGCTTTCACATTCTCTGAAAGGTTGCAGTCCTTCAGCTGCTCTGTATAGTAAACAGAATAACTCAATATACCATATGATGAGAGTGTGAATGGTACTTTTAGTTGCCCCAAATCAGCAACGCTTAAAATGTACAGAAACAAATGAGACAGAAAGCAGTGATAAATTGTGTTTAGCGGTCACAAACCTGCGGTGGGTCTTCAGATACCAGAGTGATTTACAGGTTCAGCTTAGAAACAGAACAACAAAAAATAAAAACACAGCCATATTTGTCTGTTTGTGTAAAAATCATTATTTCTGATGTGGGCTGTCAGTGACAGACGCAGCAACTCCCAGTAAACAGGGAATTCCCTGTTAGTGAGCTTTTCCCACCATATCACTTCAGTGAGCTAAGACATTTTCAGTAATCCATAGCAGATGTTATAATAACTGGCATCATGTCACGGTCCGCGAGCAGTCACAGTGATGAAGACTCACTTGTGTGATTAGCCTGCATGCCTGAACATGGAGGAAAGCAGCCACTAAGCAATGTGTTGGCAGAAAAGTTATCACGGCCGTTTAGGGAGGGTAACATCCCTTATACATCATGGAGCTATTTAAGATGCGTCATTATACAAGCATCAGCAAATGTGACTGTCAGTGTGTCATGAGACCTGCTCTCAAAAATAACCAAAATATATAAAGTCTATTTAAACACACAGGTAACTGATGCTGATAATAACTGATGCTGTTACAGGTATATTGACTCACTTGTGCCCACATATTCTTCTGAACTTTCTTTAATTCGTAAGTGAAACTGTCAGTGTGTGTGTTTGTGTGTGTTTCCAGTTAGGTGATAAGCAGAAAAAAACTACCATGTTTTTTTGATAGCAGGAAATACTGAAGCAAATCAGCAACGGCAGACGTTGTACTCTTGGTTTAAACACTCTACTATGAGGCAACAGTGATAACCACTGAGATAAGATGTTGGCATTACTAGGGTGTCTATTGACCATTGTTATTTTTAATCACAGGAGTTACATCAGTGGCATGTTTGGCATTAAAAAAAAAAAGGCCCTCTTTCTTACTTGTTTATTTCTGGTCGACACATTTTTGTGTAAAATTATTATAACTTTATAATTTAGATTGTAGAAAATGATGGAGGCAAAACTAAAATTAAGTCATTTAAACCACCATTTATCCTAATTGCCAACAGGGGGCTTCAAAATTTAACTCAACTGTAAAGAAATCAATGAAAATATTTTGGATTTTTCCTGATTTATGATCTAGGTAAATTCTCTCCTCGTGAACTTATCATCTCAATTGCTATTTCCAAGTTAGATTTAATGGAACATTATGTTTATTTTGTATAGTAATGTTACATTTACCCCCAGCCAATTACCCAAGTGGCTCAGGATCATGTCTCTGCTTCTTTTGCAGATGATCAAGCGGTGACCTCAAGAAAAACTTGCTGCTGAGTATGAAACTATAGGAATGGGAATTAGCACTTCCAAATCTGAGGCCATGATTAGAAAAAAGAATAGCGCACAAGCTGATTTTAAGACTCTCTAGGGCTGAGTGGAGATGGGCATCGAAAGATGGATTGATGTGGTTTTGGCAGCGATGTGAGCGCTGTACCATTTTTTTGTGATTAAGAGAGTGCTAAGGGAAGCACTGATCTTCTGACCTTCACCTTTGGCCCTGAGCTCTGGGTAGTGCCTGAAAGAACTGAATCATGGATACTAGCGTCAGATATGAGCTTCCTCCGAAGGGTGGCTATATTCTCCCTTAGAGGAACTTTGTAAATTGAGAGGGATTCAGAGCCTGGCCACTACTCCTCCACATCAAAAGGAACCAGATGAAGTGGCTTGGACATATGACTAGGATGCCTCCTAGGTACCTTGTAGGTGAGGTCGTCTGAGCATGTCCTGCTGGGAGGAGGCCCTGTAGCAGATCCACGATACACTCGAGAAATTACATCTCTTGGCTGGTGTGGGGAGTGGAAGGTCTTGGCATAGAGTGAGTGCCCTGAGTCTTGAACCCAGATAAGAAAATTGATGGTGGATGGATGTTATGTTTAGGGTGAAGAAACAACAATCGATTACGGGTATGACTATCTTGGTATTGACAAGTCTCTGCCATATGACAATGTGCTTTCAGTGTCCTCAACACTTAGATCCACCCCTCACTGTTGATGCCCTGATTTAAAGTATTCAAGATGACCATGGCCAAAATGCCAACTCAATCCAACAGGTGACAACATTGTGGCTATGTCCGTTTTTACATAGAGCTCATGGTTTCATAATCCATATATACTGCAAATAACAAGTCAAGAGAGTTAGAGACAAGCCTGGTCTAAGCCTTAATAACAGTTGTATACAAAAGCAGTTAACAGGAATTTCCTGAGAAAGTTATTATTCTGTTTCTCACTTTTCTCTCACTCTCTCACTGTAAGAGTGTAAACTTCTCCAGAGTTTAAAAAAAAGTAGTCAAGAGTTAAGCATCTGCTATTAATTAAAACAAAAAGTCAGGCATTCCAGAGGAACCGCAGTAAGCCACCCCAGACTGCCCACCCACTCTTATCTCTATCTTTTTTTCTTTTTCTTTTTACATTTCCTCAACTCCAAAAATACTAAATTGGCTTGTTGTCTGAGCCAAGCCTGAAGAGAAGCATAGTAGGCCATTCCAGGGAGGTGTTGCACTGGTGAAAAAGCATCAGGGACATGCCAGGTGTGTGTATCCATTCTCCCAGAAGACTTTGCTATTCTTCTGTCTCTTTAATAGTCACTTTAGCCCCTTCCTTTCACTTCTCTCACGCACAAACACACTTCTTCACCACAGAAACATCGACTAGAAGGGAAGAAATGAGGAGTCGGAGGATAAATAACAAAGCAAGGAGAGAGGGTGGCGGGGTGTGGTGGAGGGGCTTTGAGTAAAGAGTGGGAAAAGAGAGCCCGAAAAA